CACGATGACTATCGAACACAGCGATGGCCAAGAACACCCCGACGCAAACACAACGACGAAACAAAGCTATGAACAAGATTGCACGGACAACTCCCAGGACACTGCGAGCAACAGTAACTTTGATTGCCCTACTGACTACAACTCAATTAAGCTACGATAGGCTCTCAAGTGAACACTACCAACGACAAGGATATCGAACATGGTAAGTGTCGCTTCTCACATTCAGTACTACTGTATCTGGATGTGCACTGTGCCACTATAGGTATTCAAGTGAAGGTCGAGTTTCCCAAAGTCCTAGGGTGCGAACAAGGTATGTTGGCTCATGTGTATTGTCGGATTCTCAAGACTATATGTAGGCGTCAAAACGCCAAAGAAACGTTTGTCGTCAACGGATGCCAAGACATACCCGGCAACGAAGAAGCAAACTCAAGCCAAATAATGATTCACACTACTGGACATTACTTTTATATTCAAACAATACATTTCAAAAGCAATCATACCATTATGTACACATCACTTGGCTTGAATTTGCTTCTTCGTTGCCGACACGTCAAGCAACTCCGTGGGATAAACGTTAGGGCTCGAACAACCCACATTAACAAAAAATATAAAAGCAAAGTTACACTGATTTCACGTACTGTGAGTGAGAGTATGTCTATTTTTTGGTGGGTAAATGTATTTTTGATAGTTTGTCCCAAATAGTTAGGACAACTAACTGTCATACTTTGTCCCATGGGACAACTCAGGTAGCGGTGCATGGTCGATGGGAAATGCTCTAAGCATTTCCCAAAAGCGTTCTGTTCATCGACAAAGACGGACAAGGATGGCTATCCAGAGTATCGCCGACGAGCCGTGGACCCCAGGAATGCGTTTGTCGTGCCACATTGTCCTATTTTGTCGTTGTTTTTCGTCTGCCACATCAACGTGGAGGTCTGCTCGACCATTGCAAGCGTTAAGTACCTCTACAAATACGTGTACAAAGGCATGTACTGTAGTCCATGAACGTGAATGATCAAGTTATGAATAGGCGGCGACAAGGCCGATGTTACGGTGACAAGTAAAAATGAAGTGCACAACTACAGTTCACTGCGCTACGTATCATATATCGAAGCATGTTGGCACAATTTGGGCTTTCAGTGTCAATGGAACTCTCAGTGGAGCAGTTGCCTGTCCACTTGCCTGGAATGCAAACAGTGTATTTGCCCGACGAGGAACACGTCATGTCCAGCTCAGTTCGTCGCCTTGGAGAAGAAACTCCACTTCTCAAGTTTTTCGAGCTTTGTTCGCTTCCAGCGACGCGAACAGCGTACCCAAGTCTCAAGTACTGTGACGCTCTAGAAGACTATGTGTGGCATGTCAAGCCACGCAAGTGGCTGCCTCGAACAAGGCCTTCGAAACCTGTTTTGCATCATCCTCGCATTTTGCAATCCCACGGATGTGTTCAAATTGTGGACTCAATTCTACCCAGCATTGTCCGAAGATTTTGAGTTTCGTCTGGCCACCGACCCCAACAAGGACATCAATGTGTTGGGCAATACTTTGACCCATATCGACTACTGCCTCCAATCCATGGGATTGAACCTGCAAGCCTTTGTGGATGCCAACAAGTTGCCACCCATCCCAGCCACATTCGTGGTGGACGCCGACTTGGACCCCAACCCTTTCCTTGCAGAAGAAATGCGTTTTCTCGCGAGAGAAAAAACCAAGCTCGAAGACATACGCCAAGGCTTGAGCACAGGAACGCAACAACACAAGGATTTCTTTGCACAAGTGACAGCGGCCGTGCGAGAACCCGATCAAGGTCGACTGTTCCTTTTGGAAGGCGAAGGAGGGTCTGGGAAAACATATATTTCCCAGATCATCCTTGCTGAAGTGCGATTGCAAGGGAAGATTGCTCTGGCCGTGGCATCGTCCGGTTTGGCTGCGTTGTTGTTGATGGGGGGACGCACCGCACACAGCCGATTTGGCATCCCCACCAAGCAAGTACCCAGCGACACCATGTCATGCACCTACAATGTCAAGAGCAATCAAAGCGCGATGCTCAAAGCAGCGGCTTTGATCATCTGGGACGAAATATCCATGGTGCATCGATACTCGATCGAAGCCGTGGACCGCATGTTCCAAGACATCATGAAGAATGACTTGCCATTTGGTGGCAAAGTGGTGATATTTTCCGGAGACTTCAAACAACTCCTGCCGGTGATTCCACACAAGTCGAGGGTGGATGCGGTCCATGCAACTCTGCCCTTCAGCCGTAAGTTGTGGCCAATTATCCAAAAGAACCGAGTCAAGTTGACCATAAACATGCGCCTCCAGTCAAGAGGGCTCAGCGACCAAGACAAGTTGGACATGGCTGCGTTTTCTCGCCTGTTGCTGTCGATCGGGAATGGTTCTGCTCCATCGATCGACGGTTGTGTGCGTCTGCCAGATTCCATTGTCATGCCCTACGAAGGAGAGACCACCATACATGCCTTGGTGCACAAGCTCTATGGCGACCTCACCGATCCGCACGGGTACCGATTGTGGTCGTGGCAACATTTTCGATTCCCACAAAAAGTTCCAATATCAAACATGACAATTTCTACCAATCAAACATTTCTAAACAATTTCAACTGATGAGATTGGATGAAACGAAATGTATTTTAAATTCTCTCATTGGATGCTATGGAATCATTCAAGAATAAGAACCAATCGCACCCCCCCGCGAAGCGGGGGGCATACATTCTTGTATACATACAGTATAAGACAGACACGACACAAAACCGACAAAATTTAGCCCCGTGATTGGATGACCGACTAATGATTGAATTCGGATTGGTCAGTATTTTTTGCGACAATCCGATTGGACGAGGCGGTTGTCGCAGCAGCAACAATATCACTAACATTTAACATGTACGGCTTTCTATTGGTTGAAATACTGCCGAGCCGACATTGCACACGAAACGGTGTCGATCAGCATAAGTAAAACGGCACGAACCAGCAGGAGTACTGTACTGTTGTGGTCGGTGGCAGTCAGCCGGCGCCCCACCATGTTGCATGGGGACCGATGGTGGGATCTCTTTTGTAGCCCATTCCACACAATAACGTTTGCGACTTTTAAAACGTACGAATGCGGCTAAGAGTAATGGTTGCGCTTAGTTAGGTCCTGATTGAACATTACTGTAGCTACGCCAACACCACCTTACCTCCAGTAGTGATTCCAATTGCCCCTAATTCTACAAACGACACTAACCACGTTCTCCAGTTCTGCATATCCACGTACTTTCGCAACGTGAACCACCGTGCTTGTTAGCACACAGTGGTTACAAGCATCCCCACTGCTAGCATCTGCACAGTGGGGATGCTTATAAAACTAACTGCGACCTCCCTTCAATAAGTGCCCCTTACCACCACAACACTAAATAATCAGATTTTCAATACTACAACTACTAAGATCACTTATATTGTTGCGAGCGACCTCACAGGTATCACAAAACACGCATCACAGAGTCGATTGAGACGATGAGAAGTAATTACGAGCTCACAAACTTATTCTATGGTGGCAAAGTCGTGCACCAGTGAGCTATCAATGTAAATCTAGAAGTGCACATGTACTCCAGCGGTAAGGTTCTTTACAGTGAATGGTCACTCTCGCTACGATGTCCACGGAGTGTTTACTGTACTTCGGTGTCGTTGGCGAGCAAGGAACGAGGTAAGCATGCCTGATGAGTGGCTTGTGTTGCGCAAAGTAACCAAGTAATTCCTCCACGTAATATTGAACGTACTACCTCGAAGTATAATAGTACGTGTACAGTGTACTGTACCTTTAGCCCACAGAACTCCTCTGTATGTCAAATAATTCGAAAAAACCAAGATACTTTACTTGGTCGTTGTATTGACATGGAAGAGACATCCACCAATGAAAGGCAATAGGCTTCTACTTTTTACCAATCAGAAAGTTGTCGGATATATTTGTCGCAGAGGCCATTTTATCTATACATAGAGGTGTATACCCCAAAAGCCATATGGAGAGAGAGCTGAAAGTCAGGTACAGTAAGCTCTCCCTTAACTCCGCACAGCCAGCACAGGGTTGGAATGGCAAGTGCGGAGTTAGTGGAGTTACATTTTACAATAAAAATACAAAAATTTTAATACTGATAGTAATCAGGACAAAGTGGTGGTGTAGGTACAACACTACTGTATCATCAAACATTCAGAGTTCATTTCGACGATAGTTCGTGGGGGAGGCGAACGCCTTAACGTTTGTCCATACCCGATGAACTTGCTGGTACGCGCATACGGTCAGTGCGAGCCATAGTCCGTTCATAGGAAAGCGTTGAACGAGCTGCCAAGACCAAACGTCCAGGCTCTGCAGGTGTCAAAGATGGTCATCCGCCTCATGTGCTAGACGCCAGCGACCTGTATTAAAGGTAACGTTAGAGCATCCCCACCGGTGGGACTGTAAACGCTATTATACAGTTGTATCCGAATTATTTACAGTTTTGACAACCCGGGCGACTGTAAAATACAGGAAACTGTAAAATTTTACCGCGAGACGCCAAATCGGCCAGATTTACAGTCGCGACTGTAAAATACAGTTTTGACGAATTAGCCAATAACATGCTATCAATAGATTGTTTTGTCCAATCATGTGCGTTATGGAGTCAATAATCAGTTGGTTCAGAAATGGAATCAGCCAAGGCCGTCCGTGGCTCCAACTTAACGACCGACGAAGACTGCCAGCTTGTCCAGTCATGGATCAACATCTCTCAAGATGCGTCCAAGGGTAGTACTCATCACGCATCACCACACCGTCCATGATTCGTTCAAACAACGGTCTGGCCATTCCAAAATGACGGCGAAACTTGGCTTCGCCGTAGATTGAATTGGGGTCAAAGTAGTAGGTAAATCCGAGCATGCGCAGCCTCGCTATCTCGTGGTAGGTTCGCGGTTGGCAATAGAGCCTTTAGGGCGCGCAGAAGACTGATGAAAGCCAAGAATCTCCCAAGCTTGATCCATGTCATCATCGTCGTCCTCCCACCATCGCGGGCGTTCATTTCCGGATAAAAATATTACATGTATTCGGATGTTTTACAGTTTTACCGCTGGGGTTGACAAAAATCAAAATACAGGAACTGTAAAACGGTATTTTACAGTCTGATTATACAGTCGACACCGGTGGGGATGCCCTTACCTGGGAAAATGTGTTGTCGTCAACGATTAAGAACATGTTAGGCGGATATCGGAGTCAACTCTTTGTCAAACATCGTAAGTAGTGATGACAACGTCGATGACGAAGTACATAGTCGAACTGAATGTGCTTGCGCAGAACCATGGACTCGAAGACTAGTGATATGAATCGCTTTTTGCATTGTGATGACCGAAATCCGATGAATACATCGCATCGCTAATGACCGAAATGATAATATTTTTTTTTCATTATTCTTTTTTAATTTTTGTTCTCAGCACGACGTTTTGGACCAAAAAGTGAGTAATGCAGAGTTAGTGTTAGTGGCTGCGGAGTCAAGCGAGAACCAACTGCACATCTTAAAAGTCTTCGATATGCAGAACCACTGTATTTTTACTGGTGAAGATTGATGTGAAATAGATGAAAAAATTTTAAAACCTCATTAAATCAATACAAATCTAATTCACTTCTTAACAAATAAAACACGTTCAAACTGACTTCATTAGAGTGCCATGGACGACGCTGCCGACGTGGACGACACTGTTGTAGTCCTGCAATACAGTCGTTTCAAGATGGAAATGTCATGGATTGCATTTGTAGATGCTACTTCTCTTGCCACCTTGGGCAGCATGTAACCCTTGCCGATGTGCGCCCAACAGCCCTACCCTCGAGACGTTCGAGGCGACTTCCCTAACTTCCTTCTCCGAAGAGGGGTGTGGGATCTCGCAACCAACACATGCGTTGCCATGTACGCGATGACACGCCAAGCTACCCATGTGTCGCACAGTGATGTATATGCGGCTGTTCTACATTGTCTCGATGAATGCTTTGGGGCTTTGGCGATAACATGCTCGGCAAAGTACATTTTCGTTCGGTTCTACCACTTACAACATCACCCCGGACTCGAAAATGCTACTGTAAAGGTGCCTACCGCTTGTCGCTGCTACATTGAGAAATTTGTGTTGACCTTGACACCATCTCAAATCCGACTGAACATGATGCGTGCTGGTGGCGTGCCTCAGTTACCGATCAAGTCAGAACACCCTGTTCTGTTAGAGAACATCCCCACTGCCCTGTCAGTCAGGTAGCAGCATTCTGCTAGCTGTGTAGGAGGTTTTTGTGCCTTTTAGAGGCTTTTCCTCAGGTTGAAGACAGCGCAGACATTTGTCACGAAACATCGCAGATGTCGTGGCCAATCATAGTGTAGTCTGATTGGCTGTATTTCTCTCCCGTCAGAACTAATATACTTTCAGTTCTTCCTCCATCCACACACGTGTCTGCTGCTGCTTCCTGCCCTCTCCACTGGTTATGAGCCTTACTACTGCTTCCTCTGGCTGGTCACGCTGAAGACTACCATCGTGATTACCGAGACAGAGTTACCCACGATGACTATCGTGAGGTGTTCGCGACGACTACCGTGGCATCGATCACGAAATAGACCGCGTGAAAGGCGACTGTGTTTACCAAAAAGAACACCGCGACGAATGTTACGAAAACAATTACTATTACCGCGATGACTATCGTGAAGTCTAATGTTCACAACACATCGTAGATTCCGTGAAGGCTACTGTGACAACGATCACGAAGTGACCGCGACGAAAAATGTCCGCGAAAAATATGACCCCGTCGACAAATACATTTAGGACTACGACTGCTTTATGTCCGCGAAGACTCGCGTCGACAACGTCCATGAACGCACTGATTACATCCTTAAGGTATTATCATGATATATTTTGCGATATATTTGACGTAGATTATGGCGGCGACTACGTTCGCGAAGACGTTAATGGCTCCCTGCCACAAGACTACATAGGTACTACACTATATATTCCGGACAATTTGCCAGCGTAGATTACCAAGCCAAATACCACGGCGGCTGCCGTGACTGTTGTGCGTGATTTACTGCAACAACCGCAGTCGACGCGCTCCGCCCACTGACTAAGACTGCGCCCCACCGAGTAGCAACGAATTTCGCGCCTCGACCTGTACGTTCGTGTCTCAGAACACACGTGTCCACGTGACCAGACTATTTATTGATGTCTTCACGCACACATGTCGGCATTTATGCCTCGACAGGTTATCGATGAACAACATTCACGTGTTGCATTTTTCGGGACTTTTAGAAGTCAACCGACAAATCAAGTACACATCGTACTTTCGATATTATTAGTGGACATTAGTCCGTAATATTGCTGGTGCAGCCGATGCCCACCAACACAGTTGTTTGGCGTGGATCAGTTCGACTCGATGTCGCTGGCACATACGGCGACGGAACATGATTTATCTGAAGGATGGTTATCACATCCCAGATAATTTGTTGGACGTGTCCTACACATGGATAGATAGATGTCATCTCCATCACGCCAACGGAGTGGAAGCTCTCCACGATCACCATCATTTCTCGCACAAAGTTACTGCATGGTATTTACCACAGTTATTGCGGGTGAAGAAATATTGCAGTGTTCCTCATGAACACCCTGCGACTACCACAATTAGTGGGGGACACGCCGCATCGTCTGTGGCATCAATCCCATGTAGACTACGGCGATTACGTGTCTTGGGTGCATGCCTTACACCTTTGTAAGCACATCCATGCGTGTGAACAAGCTGCCTCCGAGGCATGTTGTGCATGTACAGTGGCTCACCCGAGACTTCTCGAGGGTTCAAGCTACTCAACATTGAGGCACAAACCTTGTGCTCATGTATGCCTTCACCCCGGGGGGGGGTAAATGGACGATACCTCGACCTTCATTTGGGGAGGCTGCCACATCTGCGCCTTCACCGTTTGGGGGGGCGATGACCACCACACCTCTACCCATACTTGGGGAGGCTATAGTTTGTGGTTCGGTGTACGCAGTTTGGCAAGTACATGTCGTACTAGAAGTGCTAGACAATACTCCAATTGCCCCTTCGGGAGGCATCAACTTTGTCATACCCCGCCTCCACCACGGAAGTTATCCACAACTCCGACGTCCAAACGTCGTCGATTGTTGTCCAATAACCCGTACCAATGGGCGTCGAAGATGACGAACTGGTCCTCATGGCTTCCTACTGGACATGCTGCAACCTATCAAACAAGGGTGCGCTTTCAGATGCACGACCTTGGGGTCCTCAAGTTTATTCTCAGATTTACATTGTTCGAGATCGTTCTGCTCGAACTCTCGCAATGCATCAGTCCCAATATGCAACCTCGAACATCGTGAGGTTTAGCATGGAGAATTCAAAACCAACCCTCACTCCAATGGAGTTCAAGGTCAAGCTGTCTGAGTAGATTTATCCTCAGAACGATGCAGAACGCCAGTACATGGTGGGCACGACACATCCGTCGGTCGTCGACAGCATCATGAATCTCATGATCAGCACCCGACTAGACCTGGCATGCGTCGCCCTACAACTGTGCCAGTTTCTCACGAGCCCCGGCCCTGCTACATGCAGGAGGCCATGTGCGCAATCGGATACATCCAACGAACGATAGACTATGATCTCGTCGTAGGTAGTGCGTATGATCACTCCATCCGCATCACGCGCATGTAGACAGTGACTACGCCAACTGTGTTGATGCGTCGCGGGTTTAGTGTGACACTTTACCGCTACTCTGC